GGTAGATAAATAACGGTGACCTTTTTGGGGGGCCGAAATCGTTCATATTATTCAAATAAATCTCGCCATTATCATTTATCAGTGATCTCAATCTATGGTATCGTGTATTATATTATGTTGGTAGTCAATCATAGAAAATAGCAGGGGGGTCGCCAATCTTTTCCAACCTGTGGTCAAGTATATTCTGGTGATATGCAACTATTTATATAATAAGCATAATAATATATCTATTCTTCTTTCATTATTTCCCCATCGGAAAACTGTATATTTTTCTTCGCTAATATATACTTTGCTTTGTATTTAAGTAAACCATGTAGGGGTGTTTAAGTCTTAAAATTTAAGACAAAGTACGTATTCAACAGTTATCAGTATCGATATTTAATTTTTAATAAGATCGATCAATATTCCTCATTGAATCCTCTAAAGATCTGGTTGGCGACCACTGGTATATAATAGTTATACCTATATGATATAAGTGATATAACTTACTATTTATTATTATGCTTATAAAATCCCAACTTATTTATATCAACTAACTTAAATAAAATAATTATAGTTTTATAGTATTATAATTTAATATTATTATTGTTTTTAGTTAATACTTAGTTTGTACTTAGTTACAAATACCTATGAGGGTTTTAGATAATGTCTAATTCTATATACATTGTAGGACGTAGGTAGGTATGCAAATGTAAAAACTTGTAGATTCTATACCTAGGTAATACAATTGACAACATTTTGATGGATACATTCTATTGTATAAGACCTACAAATTACAATTTAATTTTTTGACTCTTATAGCATTTTATACCAACTTACATATTTTTTTAGAAACCACTTTTCTTTAAATGAAATCATAGTTCAGCAAACTGTTATGAAATACATGACTAATAATTTATTAAGTGAAGTAAATATATGTTTTTAAGTTAACCAAATAATAAATAATTAAATAGTTTTTTTGTTAGAATTAAACAATAGAATGTTGTATGTTGTAACTTGTAACACAGTACAATATTATGTAAAATACAATAACATACAAATATACAATACAATCATCATAAACACTGTCGTATTTGCTTATTTTATTATCAAAATGTAATTTTTTCTTTTGTGAGATAATACTACCACCTAGGTAGTAGTAGGTACGCATAGTACCTACTTCTTAAAAAAATACATTCTTCATAAAGGTTACGTGTTGCAATACCCACAAGAATATCATTAAAATTAAAATTACATTCATTACATTCATATTAATTTTAGTATGTTTTGAAAGTAGTGTTCATAAAAACAAAACATATTTTCTACATAATAGATGATATTAAATTCACCTACATTTGTAATTATAAAATTTTATAACAAAAGTAAATGTTTGGTAACTTTTGCCATTACAAGTAACATAATATACTTAAGTTTGTTTCTAATTATAACACTTTACAAACATATAAGCTGGTCCTGCATGACGTTGCCTTGACAAATCAAATGCTCGTGGATTACCCCATCCTAAACTCCGTCAAATGTGAAGTGTGCAGATATTTAAATTACTTATTGTGGATGGTTTTTACCATTAAACACAGGCTTAAAATAATATCTAAATGTCTAAGGAGTTAGGCGAATACTCTAATATGGGATAATGTTGGTAAACTGTTAATTTTAGGTACCTAGGTGGCTAGGTATATAAAATATAAATTAACTTTTTTTGAGCATTTTTAATATTAATAAATCTATGTGTATAATGTAGGTAATGCTATTGTGCATGCATACAGCATACTTACAGGTTAAAAGTACATACCTAAGCCTTTTTTGGTTTGATAAAGAATATTTATAATTTATTCTGTAATAATGTAAAAACTAGGTAAGGAAATTTGTACAGAAAATTACTATGGTAGTTAACAACAATCTGTCACCGCATCTCACCATAGATAGTAAACAGCCGATATCTTTGAACCTACCTATTTACCTACCATAAAATTTAATCAGTGCATCTATTTCTAATGAAGATATTAGGACACTCTCCTCTAACATTTTTATTTTCTGTAACCAATGGCATCTCTATACAAACAAAAAACACATTTGTTTTTTTATAAATCAACACAAGCAGAATAACGATTTCAGTTAATTGTTATTTAAAAATATTTTCATAATATACGTATTATGCTGACAGATCGTTTTAGCTCAGAATAGTTTTTTATATTATACACATCCAATGATTTGATGTAATTTAAATCAAATTTAGCACTTGCATATTATTATTACAGTGATCCCACAAGTAGGTACCCAACAACTATAGTTCTCGGTGTGCAGCAAAACAATATCCAATTGCCAAGATCTTATTTTTTTAATATTAATTTTTGATGATAATTGAAAGATAATTGTCTAATATTTTATAATTTAAACTTTCCGACACATTATAGTAGAAACTCATATTTCAATGGTTGTTCCTTGTAACAAATTGAATCTATAGTTAGTATTCTGGGGATTGAAACTCAAAATTGTCCATAAAATCTTTTAATAATTGTTGGGAAAAACTGAATTTTGGACCAAATCAATATTTTTTTTTATGAACTTAAAAATTAATATTTTTAAGTAGGTAGTATTTTTTAGTTTATTTATTTTTTATTGTTTTCAATGGACTTGGCATTATTACCAAACTAAATTTTTCGTGCTATTTATTGAGTTATTAAGATTGTCCACTTTTATTTTTTTTCAACTTTGTTGGATAATTTATAATATTACTTACTATACAATGACTCATTGTATAATAAATAAATAATAAGCACCTACTCATCTACTAAATGTTGAATCAGCACATAGACTGTATGATAGCTGTCACTGTAAACACATTAATTTAATATTCTTTGATAAAACAACGCAATAGCAGTGAATTAAAATGTCAATGTTTATTGTAATGGCATAATTCCTCCATTTTTAGTCAATTTTCACAATATTTGTAAATATTTTATTGCTTATATTTGAACAATTAACACTATTTCTTCAACTAATCAGTTATCCCATCAAAAAGTATTAAAGACTAGAAAATATAAAATTTTAATCCTTATAAGTAAATAATAAACAATTAGATATATTTTTTGTATGGGTTTTGTACAGTATTTAAATTTTTAAGCAATTTGTATGCAAAATATTACAGTTTAATAAATTCTTATAACGGCTTATAAAGGAAACTACCAGGACAGCATAGATAACATTATTTTTAAGTTTGATACTACTCTAGGTACATTTTTTTTATTATCAAAAGGTTTTACACAAAGATTTGACATGCGGAGATAATACAAACAGTTGTGGTGTCCTTTTGACAATAATAATAATGAATTATTTGTCTGATTTTAATGTTGTGTATGTTAAGCCAAATCTGAGTATTCAAAACAAAACTCATATAAAATTATTTCTAATGTTTAGAACTTATGAGGATGAGGAAAATTATGTATTAATGTACCTATAATAAAATAATAAAAACACATAAATATTTTGTTTTTTTTTTTTTTTTTAATTAAGTATTTTATCATGAAAGAAAAAAATGTTCATATACATAGGCTAGTAGAGAAAATAATATACTAAATCTACAATGAAGATGGCTTGCATTAGCATACAAATTAACCGTAAAAATAATTTATCATTCAATGATGATAAATTATTGTACACATTACGTCACAGTATGTTTAACGTCGACATAACATAGTACTTCATCAATGCCTATAACTATAAGTAATAACTATTATATAGTTAACATATACGAATAAAAATTGTATGATTATAAAAAAAACCGTTTGAAAAAAAAAATATGAACCAAATATAATTTTGAAGCTAAAAATTAAATTAAATAGAAAAGAACAATCTAAAAAGCAACATATTTTACAATATAATTATTTATTATTATATTTTTTTTACACCGAGCGAAAAGGCTTGAGCTTAAAACAACAACGCTAAATTCTCACCAGTTATCAAAATGAATGTTGATTAAATTGATAATTATTAAAAAAAAATAGTATATATTTGCACCAAAACATTGGTCATGACAAAGCCATGGTTATCTACTTCTAAATTTGTAAATTTTATAAAAGTACAAACGGTTTTAAACTTAAAAAAATTTTCATTTAAAAAATTACACTTACTAAATTTTATGGAAGTAACTATACACTTAAAATGTAAAATTTGTTATAATATTAAGACAAAAATAATATACAGTGTGAATCGCCTTTGGAAGATGTAATGTGAGATGGAATGTACCGTGTATGCGATAATTCGTTTCACATAATGATTGGACATATATTATGTCTCATACCAAAAATATCATTATATTATAACTAAAACTCACAACAATTTTTCTTTTTTAAATTAATACTAAATCTTTAATTTGGGGTGAAAATAAAAATAACAGAATTTTTCTTAACGTTTTATAAATATTTTTAAATTAAAATAAATACAATTAATTGCTAAAAAAAAAAAATGATATATATAATATAAATAAACTTACAGAAGTTAATATTTGATCAAGTTGAGTCATTTATTTTGTTTGTATATATTTATATTATATATTATATAAATATATACAGGCATATAAAATAGTAAAAAAAATAACTATTTAAAAATTAAGTTTGGTCCGGGAATGTATTTTGGTTGTAAAAAATTTGAGCGTAACGTTTCATTATCAAAAGAGCAAATATATGTAAAAAAAAAAGATATTGTAATCAAATCATATTATAATGACTTAACTTTAAATTTCAATCTAATGTTATTATATTTAGTTATTTTTTAAGTATAAAATCTAATATAATAATAAATAATAATAAAAAAAATAATTATATTTATAAACAGCCGATTAAAAAAAATTGTACAAAAAAGTATTATGTCGCAGAAATTTGTTTTGTTTTAATTTACAAAAATCATGTATAAAAATAATTTGAAAAGAACAATACATAAATTTATTTATGATCATCAAAATGGGAGTGTTTTTTAGTTAGGATTTAAAAAAAAATAAAGAGGAATTATGAAATAAAACATTTTTTTTTCACATAAAATAGTAGGTAATAACATTAGTGTAGTTTTCGATAACTGACGTCAACGATACATTTAGTGAATAATAATAATAAAAAATAAACTGTAGAGCATATTTTAATTGCCTTCTTCATGACCAGCATCACCATTTGTAACTGCTATTGCATCACATACTCCATTAATTTCATGCAAATCCTGTAAAATAATGAATAATAAATCAAATATCAATTTTTCTTAATTTCTAATATTTTTGACCGACATTGGATGATGTACAAAATAAAATGAACTGTTACGATCAAGTCTGACAGGTTTAAACAATGTTTGCAGAATACGCTAAATTTATTTAATGAAGTCAAGCGCAATTTATTTTTAGTAAGTATAAACCCAAGGGAAATACCTTGAAAAATGTATTATGGAGAAAATTTAATACAAAAAACTTACATTTGAAATTTCATTGGTCACCTCATTAATATCATTAATATCAACTGCGTTGGATAGCTTGATTGCTTCAATTTTTTCAGATAAAGAATTCACCTAAAAACATTAAAATATATTTGAATAAGTACCCTATGTGTATGAGTATAATACTAAGTTATAAATTATATATAGTTCAATTACATCAGGCGAGGAAGGCTCGGACTTTTCACCTTCAATGTGGTTGCCGTTAACTAAAGGTACCTCGGCCACTTCTTTTTCAATATCAGACGTATTTAAACCTTCAGGAGGTTCGGCCAAACCTTCTCCACCACCAACTGTTTCATCCTAAAATAGTCATTTATTTAGAATAAAATGCATTAATGTTAAATAAAATAAATATTTTTCTTACTTCAGGTTCAGCTTGCACAACCTCTGGTTCCACTGGTTGGACTGGAGCAGGAGTTTCAACAATAGTTGGTGTTGGTGCAACAGGAGTTGGTTCTACTGGGGGAGGGCTACTGGGTAATGGAGGCGGAATTTCAGCCACATTAGTTATCTGAAATAAAATAATAAATTATTTGATTAATACTTGGATTAAGATAATGTAACTATTTGGTATTTACATTTAATTCAGAAGCTTCAGGTTCTTTCTCTTCAACAACAGTAGGAGGTTCTTCGGTGACTTTTGAAACTTCAACAGCAGATTCAGGTTCTAGTTTGGCTACTTCTTTTACTGTTTCTTCTTCGGCCACCTGGAATTATTATTAATTAATTTTTATTTCACAATTGACTATGCCGGATTTATATTACTAATGTGGGCAAGGTCAAAAACAGTTAACAATCAAAAACGATTCACGGGAGTCACGGGTAATGTGTTGACGTTTTTTTGTGTATACAATGATCGAATTATGTTCAATTAACAGCGACAATAAATAAGTAAGTCTTGTACTACTGAGAGGTCAACAACTAAGGAGATTCTCCCATTAATCAATTCGCCCCTACGGGAAACCAACCAATAAATTAGACCACTATAAATAATAAAGATATTTTTCATTCTCTCATTTAGCCATCTATTCTATACTCGTTAAGGGCTGTATAGTATGATTTATATTATAATATACATGTTTAAAATGAATAACAAATAAAGTAACCGAGTAACATTTAAACGTAGACAGTTAAAAGAAAAGATTCAAAACCACTTAAAATAAATCGATATTAAATCTTTTATTTGAAAAAAATATACTGTTTAAGAAATATACAGGTATATATATCAAATGCTCGACGATAAAATATACTTATCACATTTAAATGCTAACATGTATTTTTTTTTTAAATCATGTAAGTATATAAAAAAAAAACAATAATTAAAAAAACTCCTAGATTCATATTATGGAACACACTTGTTAACACGTATTTGTTAAGTGTATTGAAAAGACAAAAATCGTAGAAACTATAATTTTTTTAAAAATATTTTCAATCACTATACCTATTTTAAATTAAGAATAAATAAATCATGAAGATGTTTCAAATATAAAGTGCAACTTGCAAGTCCTGTTTTTTTATTATACCTTTGGTAACAAAGCAGAATCCCTAGACGACATTATAACGGAGACGAAGTAGATCGTAAATTTCACATAAATTGCTTAAAAGTGAGATAACGCTCGACAAACTCAACCGAACTAGACACTGTTGCTTAGCGTTGGTGGACATTATATTTATAGCACCATAGCCCATAAGGCAACGGGTATTATGGAGGGACGATATGATGATGAAACATATTGTTTACAATTAGTTTTTTTTATTGATTTGTTATTCTGATTTGATATCATTTCCCGCCACGCTTACTCGATTTTCAGATACGCAATACATGAGTAGTTGCATAAATTGTAACTAGGACGATACGTGAAAAGGATCCTTGAACAAAGATGATCAACCGTGATGAACATTGACAGAAAAAAAAATGTAGAAAATCGCATTATTTAAACTATAAGTGCGTAGAAGAATAAAACTTGAACATTTTAAACATTAATGATGTAATTTTTTTTTATCTTAAGGAATAAGGAGTAAGGAATTCTATAGTTTACATAATAATATATTTAGTTAAAAATATACATTGTACAACAATACCAATAATAATAATAAGTAATAAGTATACTTATATACCAATAATGTATTAGTAACAAATAACACACAAATGCTAAGTCATCCTTAGTAGTAGAAAAGGTAAATTAAAGGCACCAATGAATCTTAAAAAAATCCAATACAAACCATTCAAAGAATATCTAGTGACGACTAAATTCGTAAAATGTAGTTTAAAATCAAATTAAAATCAATACAATGTCTTATTTAAAAATTAAACCATTGCCCGTTACAAAATAAATAATAAATGGTAACTGATTTTTTTTATTAAATGGCTATTAGGTACGAAATGGATTTTGAGTGTCAATTTTTACAAGTTTTCATAACTCATTATTTCTTTAGTTCGGAAATCACGAACCTACAATAATATAAGGAGACTTCAATAATGAATTGAAACATTAATAAGCACAATTCCTTATACTTAAAAAACTACCGATCCAACTACTTTTATTACTAAATACATTTTTTAAAAATAATTTTAAGTTATTCTGAAAAATGTTTGTAGGAGCGTTTAAAAAAGAAATTATACCTAAGCTTAAATAAATAAATTGTGCAATGTTTAAGTTTTATTTTGTATTAAATCTTTTAAAATGCTAGTTTTGGATCTACAATTTATGAAATTCCCACCATATCGTCAAGCAATTTCTAATTAAATAGGTTCAAGCTTTTAAACTGTCACAGTCTGTACTTGTGTACTTACAATATGCAATTTATTGATACAACGATTTTAAATATATGTTTATGAGAAAGCACATTTTTGAAATTATAATGTTGATATATAAAATACGATCGTAAATAATTAACGATATACGATTACATTTCATAAAGAACAATATCAAATGATTTGATTCAGCTTAGACCTATCGTGTATCTAATGCCCTAGTTCGATCATATGACAAACGCATTGTAAACACGTTGATTTCTCTACTTTAAAAGAAGATAAAAAATTAGAGTAGATAAATTGAGCTATTATATTATCATTCAAGTATGAAAAGTTAAATAATTATAACAATAAACCTACGATTAAGCCGACGAGTTTCTGAATTATAATCTATATTATTATTACATAGGTATGTAGTTGAGATTTTTATAATTTAACATAATATAATTAAATAAACACAAAAAACACAAAAAACACAATAGGATAATCTAATTTAAAGTAACTAACTAATATCTAATACCTAACAGTATTTATAAAATGGTATTCAAATTAAAATATTTTATATTATAAAATAAGTAATTTTTAACTTTATTTCATTTAATTGCACAAACTCCAATAACAACTATACAAATATATAATTTATGCGTGAATACTAAGTAGTACTGGTGATGAGCCATACTTTGACAACGGATTCGTTTTGATCTGTTTTGAGATTTAATGAAAGTGAGCTCCGCGGGTAAAGATATGACACGAATTCAGGAAATATGAATCATGTTTGGATAAACAATAAAAAATATATATTTTTAAATAATATAACATGTATTAATATTTATTTAGGTTCTGAAAATATATTATGTTATACAATTATCTATCAAAAGTACTAATCAAGAAGTATGAATACGTTAGCGCAGATTCTGATTATTTGAAATAATTTGGGAATTGTAAAGAAGTAAACATGAGTAGCTTACCTACAATTGTATGACAGAAAACATTTATTTTTTTAAGTATTTAAATAGCACGGGTTTAAAGTTCATATTTCACAAATATTTACAACGCTGAAACCAAACAAATAATGGATAGGTATTTAATAAGATATTGGGTATTTAAAATTATCAAAAAATAACCTTATCCTAACCTTCAAAACACATATTTTTAATCATCACAATATATTACATGGTCTTTAAAATACCTGTAGGTTTTATCAATTTGTTACTAAGTCGCATTTTATTAAAAACATAAATATATTAAATGTGCTTACTGTTTAGAAATATATCTTTGTAAAATTAAAATGCTATTAAATAAACTGCGATGAAAGAGTTCAATATAGTATAAGTTATTTGAACGATTCTTAATTGTTCTATAGAAAACTTTTAAAAATAATAATTAAATCGAATAGTTTGCATTTTTTTAAACAGATTATTAAGGTTATGCATAACTTCGATAGTCACGAATAAAAAGATAACATCGATTATATCTACTGAAATACTGCAGTATATTATTGTGAATATGTACCCAATAAAATGTTAATTTTGGTTTTTGATGTATAAACGATTATTTGGTTGATACAAAAATTGCGTACTTGACTTCCGGAGCAAAAGCTAGTTATGAATAGGTATAGCACACAATGTATTCATATTTCATAATGTTATACTATCCGGGGGGGAGGGGGGGCAGAGATGACTATCGTGTGGCAGCATCAACTTATCAACGGAGTATCCCCATCATGTTTTATTAACCACATTTTATATTGTTAAAAAAGTTTCGAGTACACAACATGACTGTTTGTTTTTATTTTTTTTCCGCGGGACAAAACTACTCTTTTCATGACGTAAGAAATACATCCTCACATATGTATACCACCCAACTTCCTATTGTTTTTTTCTTGAAATATATTTTGAACAAGCATTCCATTCCATAATATATTTATTATTTAGTACACTTAATAACATTTCAAAAAACGCGTTTATGACGTATCTCGTAGAATTTGACAATTTATTATTATTATAATGACTATATAGATATATACGTATACAAGTAGAGTAAAAAACCTAGCTGATGGTGGGCAGTAGCAGCGTATCCCCCTCGTTCCGCAGTTACGCGCCATTTGAACATCAGTAGCAGTATCTAACAGCCAGTGTATGGGTATAAATATAGTACACTGCTACAGAACACCACGCCACAACTGTTGGTAGGTTGGGTCTTTGTCGAAAAACAGAAGAAAAAGAAAAAACCAACATGGTTCAATGTACCCCGGCGGCACATAAACCGGTTGAAGACACGACAAAGCTATTATACAATGCCACAATATTGTGTGTATCGGGAACTATCGGTTAAGGGGAAAAACGAATAACGCGCCTTCCGCTTTTGTTCGTCTTCAATGTCTCCGAAGGACGCGATCTTTTGATTTCACCGTTACCTTCATTGTTCCTACAAACCCTGAAGGTTTTCCCCGCTACTGTATTATGCACTTATCTTATGAGCACCTATATTTATGCGGTGTTCCCATTTTATATATCTGCTAATTTTCGGAATCCATGAAGATAGTACTCACACAACGGTGATTAAAGAACTACACAATTAATTTTATTTTCAGCAATGACCTACATATACAACTTTGGGTTTAAAACTAGTTCACTGGCTCTTATAACTATATAATATTCCAATGGGTAACAATAGTTATAACTGATAATAATTAATGTTTAAGTAGTATTGCTTTAATTGTTAGTTATTAACTATTACTATTGAACATCAACTATTAAACCAAAAAACAAATGATAAAATAGACAAATACTTTTTTTTTTAAATAAAATATTTTTACAATAAATACCTACTTGTTTTGATTACAAAATATTGTAACAATTTATATTTTGTTTTAATCAATTATTGAACACTGGAATATTAAAAAGTAAGTGCATTTAATTTTGTATTTTTGTTCATTTTAGTATGTATTTAAAAATTAAAATGCGAATACCTACCAAATTATAAGTAGGTATAGGTAGGTGGTATTTACAATTTCTTAGTTATAATCGATAAATTAATTATAAAAATGTATTGGATTGGTTTAAATAACACATTTATTATAACGCAAGTTTTAATTACTTTATATTTATAAAATATCATCTTATGAGAGGCATTGTCCTTAATATTGTTTAAGAAAAATGAACTTCAAGTTGAACTGTCACATGTCATTATTGTTATGCAATTCAAAGTTCTAATAAAATAACAACAAATGTATGATAACTACTATTGCTGGGTATTTTATTATTCACACTTCAAAAGTTTAAAATTATCATATCAGCAATATATTTCAGAATTCTAGATACAGAAATACAGTTCGTTCAATGAACACATCATAGAATCAATTACCAAAGCAGAGAACACACGATTAACGATAAATGATAATAATAACGCTCAAATAATGCAAGTAATGAACACGGCAATAACAAATTATAGTTGATTTTGCAAGACAAGTATTACAAACAATTCATAGGTACTCAATAGCTAATGATATTTTTAATAATTTATAATTTAGCTAAACATAACAAACTTGACTACATTAGCAGGACGCCAAACTGCAAAATTCTGTTATTCTAGTTAGATTCAGTAATCGAAACACCTTCACAAAGATTTGTAATAAATGAATGCAAAAATATTCAAAGTTTAATGTTACCGAAAACAAATATATTTAAACATTCTACAATTTACACAAAATTAATAAAGGTAGGTACAATAACATACGGAATTAAGGCCACATGGTCTCGAAAATATTTTTTCTTACATTTTATAATAATGTTATTACTTATTACTATGACATCACTTTCCAATTATTTGTAAAATACGTTTGTGAACTTATTTTCCCACGTGTGGCATACACATTGGCGTGACATCATCTTTTATTTATACGACCGTTATTTAAATTAAATACATACTCATTATTTTATTGTTTTTAATTAATTAAAATTTCAAGCCCTTATATCTGTATCCATAAATTTTTTAGGTAAATATACACACACACTTATAAGTATAAATGTATTTGAAATAAGATATAGGCAAATTCCTAAAATTATTATATGTTATTGAACGATAAGAATAATGGTTCCGACGGACATAATATGCCAACGCAAATATGATAAATCACTACAAAATATTAACTTGAGCCATAATTTAAATAATGATAAATCATAATAAAGGAAAACTTATTTAACTGTTTCATTGAAGTTTATAAGTATATAAAAAAATAGTAATAAAGCGGAATTAAAAAAAGTAATTATTAATTTAAAAAAAATTTTATCAAAAATAACAAGCAATGAAGTCCTCATGTTTAACATTAAATTATTTGAATATATTTGTACTTCATGCTGAGTTATATATCGCCTTAATATTAGAACGAAATATCGTTAATCGACCAAACGGAAAATACGACTGAGCTGCGTAATTATCATTTACCGGTGTTTGAAGGTAAGTCATATTATATAGCTGCATTTATGGGGTCTTCCTTCCTAATTCACTTTTTACTGATTTGAATACACACGACGTGGTTGTAATTTTAAAATATCGTGTTTATGCCTTATATACTACCAATTGCCAATTAATTTGTATCATGCGGATTTAGTTGAGTAAATACTGCCAATCGAGGAGTGGGTAGAATAAAGCATAACACATATCAGACCGGACAAATCGTGATGGTAACCGACGTGGGCGGCGGATATATTCAATTTTGGGACAGTCGGTAACCGGCCGGTTTGATATTATAATACGGTACGTAAACGCTACAGAAAGACCACTATACAACGTGTTGCTATGGATACTGGGGCGTCGCGACGGGTCTGTAGCGATCGATTGTGAGCGTCTCGCGTTCTAGACCCTCCCAGACCAGATATATTTTTTTTTTCTGTAGGACAGTTTTTTGTGTTTTTTTTTGGCTTCATGCCCTTGTACAATACATTTTTTTTGTGGACAACCACCGTTTCGGTAATTTTTCACTCAGTTTGTTTTTTGCTAAAAATCTTATATTAATTGTTTTAAAACAAAAACCTATTTATTGATAAAAAGGATTACGATTTACTATCATTTCACATTAGGCACCGCTGGGAGTATATTGGAAGTTAGGGCATTACACGGAATGCCTTTTGATGGAAAGCTAGCCGTTCTTAAATTAAAGCGCAAGTTTAATAACAGCGGAAGAACGCAGCTACGTTTTATATATTTTAACCATGACCTATGGTCATAAAAACGACTCTGAACGTCTGAAATGAGAATATTAAAATATTAAACAATAGATGAATAAGCTATTGATTTTATTTTTTAAATTTATTTATCTCGGCAAGTAAAATGGGAGAAGTTTCAGTAAAAATTAGAAATAAGTGCTTGATACACTATATTTAATAGTATTTTATTAGTACAATATATTATATTCAAAAATATTCAATAACAGGCCTTTGGAAATTAATAATATTATATTTAAATAAAATTCATTCAATTTTAATCAATTTAAGATATCATATCTTTTACATTCTGTTCAGAAAAAATATTAATTTCAAAGTCGATACACATTTATTTTGTTATTATTTACGAGGCAGATTCTTTAAGCGTCTAAATTTCCCGCAAATATAACATCCAAACTCATTATAAAAACACTCAACGGACATATTTTTATGTCAAGAGTTCATTTTATGAGTCTAGTTCTAGTACGCAAAGTACCTCTTAGAAAAACTGCTATTGGAGTTAAGTAAGAGGAAGTCATTATTCTTAACACCCACTTTAGGAATATCCCTTAAACCTTTTCATTAAAATTTAGCAGCAGAGAGGGTTACATTATTTATTATTCATAAAAAACTTGTTTAAACAAATACTATAACAGAACACATTTTCAGAAGTTTTCAGGAACGACCAAGTATATTATAAATTGTTTGAATACTTATCAAGGTGTGGTTTATGGTTGAAAAATATTTCAGAATTAATAGACATGACATTATAATAACTTCATAATTCCTTGATCACAGTTTCCTGTAAACAAAAGTCGTGTAGCGCAGATTGTATTGGAAGAAAACCCTCAAACTACATCCACGTACGCCTGAACATAATAAGCTATATACTATAATCAAAGAGGTGCGTTTGTATGTTTATTGTTTACGCTAACAATTTTCGAGCGGCTATTGTTGTCCATTTTTAAGAAACCAAAATGTTATTAATCCTCATTGCACGTGGCACATATAATATACCAATACTGCAACAGTGTAACCCTTTCCACATCTTGTAGGCCTCTCCGTTAGTAACAATCAAAAAATTAAAGCACAGTAAAATTCGTGACTATCAACATGTGCGCGATCTAGTACATTATATATATATATATATATATACATATGTACACCATTAGAGGCACCGATAATAGGGCTATCACACATCGGGTGTTCAAACAAGTCAACGTCCTCCATCGTTCTAGGTTCAAGGTTTCACGATTGCTTTTGTGACTACACTGCTGCCAAGAATAATAAAAAAAAATAAAACAAAACCGACAAAACTAGGCCGGAAAAAATAAGAGGATTTTATCTTATCGCCCATCAAACACACGAACATTTAAATAAAGATTAGTATTATTTAAGCTTCGCAAAAAAAAAAATTAATAATATTAAAACAAGTTAGGAAAGCTAATTCTGCGAGTCCTAAATTCCAGGTTTCTAATCATATTTTAATACACAACGCAATAAACTACAGTTCCGTACACAATTTAACAACCTTTTTATTTGTGTATCTACACCAAAAATAATAATATACTAACTCAAATATGAATGAAATTACTTGATATCGTTTAACTATAAATACATTTGATTTTAACATTTTTTATTTGATTGTATCTTACCTCTTCAACTGTTTCGGTCTTCACGTCAACAGCGGCTTGTTCCTTAACTGCTGGTTTGGATTTATCTTTTTTAGAGAAACTGATGCTTCTGAACGACCAGGATTTCTTCTTCTTGCGCTTCTTTTCTGCAGATGCTTGAACCTCTTCGGTAGCCGTTTCGTCAGTCGCAGTTTTAGACGATTCATCGACAATAGTTTCCACATCGCCATTAGCTTCAGAAATCAGTGTTGAAACTTCGGTTATTTCTACTTCAGTTTTAACTGGTTCCTTGACATCTTCAGTTTCAGCAGTTTCCTAGAAAAATAATTATTATAATTTCACAATAATTTTATCAAGTTCTACAAACTTTGCATATATTTATACTCAATACAATTAAGCTGTAGTAAGGAGACGTTTTTTATTGATGATAATTTCAACATAACAAAAAAATTGCAAAATCTATATCTATTACTATTTTAGCACGTTTTAAAGTATACACTATGAAAACTTAACTTAATTTTAACTATCACAAGACAATAGATCAATTTTTTGTTAATAGTTTGTTTTGGTAGGTATCTAGTGATGATATCGATTTTGTTAGTATGGAGACATTGGGATGAAACCCATATTACTACCTCGTATGGTTGCTTCATTTCAAATTAGCAATCCCCTCTTCTCGAGGGAAATTTTATCAATTTATAATCTATTAACAGCAGATCTAGTGATAGAAAAAGGGTGGGGCTAGACACAAAATAGGAGGAGGCATATAGGCTTCATGACACACAGGAACCTGAACCATTACAAAAGAATTGCTAAATTTTTTTAACACATTTTATTTAGATAATAAAATTAAATTTAAAAGTAAAACTTAATATTATGTTTTAAATTAATTATTAAAACCTGACCATCTAGGACTTTCAATAAAATTCAATATATACAAGTTATTTGAGCAACTATTAATGTAAACAAAAGCTTACAATTATAGTTGATGCAAATAATTAACCAATGAAATTAACTTGGATGCTCGAGACGTTCTAATTTTTGTTGGATTCAAAATTACTAAGCTGTTGTCAACCGATAATCGAGTACATCGCATTAGGAAAAACAATAATTTTCGATTTATTTTGAAGGAAACTCCTTATATTTTTTAAGCAAATTATTTCAACGATTAGGGAGAAAACTAAATTACCTCTTTAATGCTCAGAAACTTTAAATAATCTCTAGCATATTATTTGACATATTATGACTTATGGTTACCATTTGTTTATATTTTATAATCAGATGTATACCTATGTATACATTTACAACGAATTCATACTGTTCGTATTAGTTATTGAAGACATTATTTTGGAAAAAATGTACTATAATATTGTGTAGTATTTAAATATTTGTATATATTACAATAATATTAATAGGTTTAATAGTGATAACCGCGAGTTATAACGTAACCAATATTAAAACGCATTAAATTATTAACAGACATAGGTAGGTAGTATAGATGAATTCAATTAAGTTTAAAGTACAGATTTGAGTGACAAATAATAGATACCGATTGTGTGTTTACGTACAAATATCACAAAAGGATGTTAGCCAAGACGATATCATACATTATTTAAACAACAGTATTTAAACCATATTATTTTGGGGGATTTTGCTCTGTCAACTTTAAATAATAATTCGAAATTTAAATAATTAACACATTAATGAATTAGGTATATTTTTTTTTCATAACGTTCGTCTGTTTATTGCAAACCCTCACTCATTTAAAAATATTTTTGATGTCGTTAAAATGATTAAGCTTTTTACTCATTAGAATATTATGACAATACATGCCTAACTTTTATTTTCATACCCACTCGAAAATAGAATATTTTTCAGAAGAAATCGATTTATAAAAACCGAATTTCAATGTAAAAAATTGTATAGTTTGTGCAATCAATAATATATTAAAAAAGTAATTAGGATTTTACATTCCAAGTTATATTATGCATATAGTCACTATATTTCAATAATCCACACTATGACACAAAAAAAAACTATTTGAGATGATCAATTAATGTTATCAAGTTATTTCATTGAGAAATTTTAATATTATTTCATAAAATACAATTTAACACAATTACTTAATAATTAATACAATATTTATAGAATGAAGTGTTTAAGTTATTGTTATTTTAAAGTCCAAGTTCGTCACCGTTGATTTAATGAGAATTTAACAAAATATAGAAAATACAAGTTTTATTTTAACGAGTGATCCATTTTTTTTTTTTGTATGAATCAATTTATTCCTAAATAAATATGATAAATTATTATCAAACCAAATATTAGATAATGGGATTTATACTGAGAATATTTCACTACTCGCATACCTACCATAGAGCATAACAACTAACAAGATAAAACAACTACAAATCAAAGGTCTAGGTCAGATTACAAACCAAAGAAAACCATGACGCTAAAATTAACATAGGTTAAAAACAAAAATGCTTCAATGCAACTGAATATTTAAAATAAAATAATTACGAAAATTATACAATTATTAGGTATAGTGTTTTAACTAAACTATTGGACCTCTTAAAATATATTTTACTTTTAAATAATTTATCCACATCAAAGTATTTGTTAAAAATAGTAAAAATATTTTATTTATAATATCTTAATAAAAAGAGTTATTATAACTCATATGATTAAGATGTTTGCACCTATATCGCTATAACATTGTTATCAAATAAAATATAAAATATAATAAGTAATAATAGATCCAATTAAAATCGATTTTTTGTATTAACAGTAAAATATTTTCAACGTGCAATGCTGGAACAATAAATTAATAGCTATTACTTCAATCAAATTATTAAACTATACATGCTAAGTTGCACACAAATGTTACACAAAATAAAGTAAAATATGAAAATGGAAATTGATAAGTATGGAATAGTACCTATATATAATTTGTTTTTATACAAATTGGTAAATGATAATACAATACAAAATCTACCTTTTCATCTATGTGGGGCGTTGATCCATTCTGTTTGGTCGTTTCTTCAACTCCACCATTCGCCTCAACCACTTGTTTTTCGTCAGCTGAAGCAGTTGTAATTGTTCCATTTTCCAAAGGTTCTCCAGCTGCAACTTTTTCTGCTTTAGTAGCTCCGGCAGATATATCAACAGATCTTTTGCTTTGTCTGGCTCCCATTTTGTGTAATTTATTCAATTAGTCACCGAAATTAAGAAAAACTGTTTTCTGAGTGTATAAAACTTAACAATTATAAAGTAATCCACTAAACAATATTTTTCTTCAGATTAACAGTGTTCGATTTGTGGCACAGCTTCTTTGTCAAGCTATTCTGAAACAATAATAACGAAAAAATCAAATATTAGTAATCGTTTCCCCACCACTAATCTAAATGTCACACCGATTCATTCTTATCTATGAAAACACAAGTCTAAATTGTCGGCGGGGAATTTGTTTATTGAAAGTAAAGAATTAAAATTTATATTATTTTATCATCTGTATTTAACGATTCAATATTTAACATTATTTTCTGAGTGATTCAATAACATAAAAAGTTGGTAGTTAAAATAAAAAGTCGAACTATTAGTTACAACACGTTTTAAATTAATAAAATAAGCGACATTAACAATCAATATTTTGCTAAAACATTTTGGGAATCCGTCAATAGTGATGAAATTCCGGTAATACACAGTGTTCAAAAGAAAATCTCGTAGTATCACTAAAAAAAATATAGTGGAACGAGAATGCATAATGTACCTCCGAGATTTAAAATTAACGTCCATCTATACGTGCGTTGTATACAAGCGTGTTGCACTGATAATAATAAAAATTAAATAGATAGACTAGTGGATAAGCGATTGACTTGGCAGACATAATTCAATTTGAACGGGAATGTCTTGCATACATCCTGTGATCATTACCTTTGTCCTTGAACCGAGTTGTATTATGTTAGTTATGACTTATGATGTATGTTCAAGTTATACTAGGCTACTGAGACTTTTGCTATGCTATGCACACGGCACACCCAATGCAAAATGTATAGTATCAAGCAGAGATTGTGATAGTTTTGAAAGAGAAATGTTATATATATAATTCAATTTATTCAAACTAAACAAGTATAATTAATACTAACAATTAGTTTAATATGCAATCGCAGGTTTTTAATTTTAACGAATTAATGGTATACCTATTATATTTAAATATTTTCAGACATTAAAATAAGTACTTATAAATGAATAAATATGATATTTTTGTAATTTTATTATGTTAGACAAGTTAATAATCATTACACCAACAACATTAAAAATCAAGAAGCAAAACAATATTCGTTGTATATCTTATTTTTTCTGCAGAACTATAATATTATGATCTATGCGCAATATACATTTTATGAGTTGTACCTTTGCAATTACAGATAAACAATTTTGAAAATAAAATATAACCATACGGTTGTATACGATCGTAATGGTGATATAATATTTGATAAATTAATTCCGATTGTTATTGATAAAATAAGTGAACATGATCTCTCAACATTAAGAGGGTATAGATTAAAATGTATTTGTAAATTTTCATACATTTTTAAAATTAATTATTCGACCATTAGTTATTAAAATGTTTACATTGAGTATAAGTATTGATATAATAAAAGGAACAACTACTCAACATTTGACATTTACAATAACATAATATTTAGTAACTATTTTTATTTTCCTAATTTGTATTTATTCCTATAATTTAATATAAAAATATAAAACATAAACTTATGTAATAAAAATCTACTCTAAATGATTTTATAAAATAGTGACGAATATTAATGATCTTTTTTATTTTAAGCCGATAAATAATCGATTGTATTCTGCCATCAAACGTATCGAATTCTTAAAACGTTAATTCCATTCAGGCCACACCTTCAACTTCAAGCAATCAAATTAATAAATAGTTTTTTTTTTTTTTTAACAAAATTTTATATTACGCTATCTGTTACAATTAATGAACAATAAGCTTAAGTGATAAAAATATAATAAAATAGACAGAAGAGACTGAGGGAAGAGACCACCCCCATCGGAGGTACTTCAGCATGAATATAAATTTAAGGTTTTAATCCTAAAACAAAAACAATAATAATAATAATAATAAGGATAATAATAACGATACTGCAATGAGTACGTAATAGTTATAACTTATAAGATCATAGTATTAGTGATACATTTTTTTTTTTTAAATTAATAAATAGTAAATAATTATGTTTGTAAGAAAAAAGTCATCATAAGACAAGACAATGTAAAACATGAATACATTTTTATTTCAGAGAATGATATAGGAACATTAAACAAGTGGGTATAACGGTAAATAAATAAATCAATACTATAAATAGTTTTATGGAAAATTTATAGATAATAATATTTACTAGGTAAAAACCTATATTATGAAAAAGTGCAAAATTATTTATTAACTAATTCAATTAAGTAGTGAAATATAAACATTACATTAGCTCTAAATATAAAATAATCGGACCTGCCTGTCAACCAGAAGACGTCACGTCATTCCTCAGGAGCATCGAAATGGAGAAACAAATTTAAGAAAAACATGAACAATTAATAGTCCTAAATCCCCCTTCTCTATATTATTGTAATCGAATTGTTACCATAAGTAAATCAAATATAATGTACAAAGTAAATGGCCCTTGTCTCCGAAGCTAAAGTTAAATTTAAAAAAAAATAGTATTACTAGGAACTAATAATGAATAAATAGGTAAATTGTATAATATAACAATATTTATTCGTAATAGCATTACAACGCAAATTTAGCAGGTATGAGTATTTTAACTAAAAAAAGTACGAGATTATTTTATAACATTTTTAATAGTTTAAAAACCTTAAATATAAAAGTTCAACCAACTTAATTGTCATATGACAAATTATTATGCATACTTTTTCATAAAACTGAAGCTATTTTAAAATTAAAACATCGTGTTGGTTATTACTCCGGTAAAATAAAAGTTAATATACTAATTGTTATCCTATTATGTATAAGGTATTTTATATTTTGAAGTATATGTATAAGTTAATAAATAATTAATAAACTCTGAATATTAATTTTAAGAATAACTTTTTATACTAAATAGAAGAACTGAGGTTTGGCTCAAAAGAATTAAAAGAGGAGGATTATAATTAAAATTAAAGTAATATTATACAGGCAATATTAGTTAGTCAAATTACATCATACAATTGCAAAAGTTTTGTACAAGAGCTTTTTTTAATCAAACTGAATTACTTTATATAGTAGTCTTTAAAAAGACCGTCTTATGTGTCTACAAATAAAAAGAATATAATTATTAATTTGATTTGTATGAGTAAATGAAATGGATGTATAATATAGCATGTGGACGTTTGAGTAAATCGATAAATAAGACAACTATTCGTCATCCATTTTAATGGACAACTTATAACGGTAGATATACACGTTAAAAATAAGACGACACACTTTCTCCCCTTTCGTCCACCCTACCGACTAGGAACTAGTGACTCATCGTCGACGCCAGTGGTTTTCAACAGTTCCACTGTTTATACTGGACAGAGGGTGGTCGAATGAGTCATTTATCGTTATATTGATTATTTTATAAAACTCCGCATTAAAGTAAGGCTAAGTGCGATATATTTGCATATTTTTAAAACTATTTAACATATTTACTTGGACATATTCGTAATACTGATTGTACAGAACAAAAATGTAATATAATTTAATAAGTTACCGAGATATCAATAATAATATTGTTAAAAGTATGAAATAAATAGTCATTAATTTTTCCAGTTTAAAAACACGCAGAATTTTATGTTATTCAAATTAATTCATTATTACAAAATAAGTTAAGTGTATTCAATAGGTAACATAATATAATCAACTAGTGAAATTAATTGTAATAAAATAGAAAATGTGATTGAAAAAAAAATATAAGTTAAGACTACTTCTGAAATGCAAAACAATGTTAGAGCTGGCAATTGTCTGAATCGAATATTATACTATGCTTAAGACAATATTTTTATAGGGGACGTATAATAGAGAAGCTAGCAAGCAATAATTGCTGTTATATTAATTAGACTACTTTCGTTGAGTAGGACATTTTGGCCCTGATAGTTTTTTTTTCATGGGGAAATTTTAAGTGATGGTTCCAATAATAAATTAATAATAAATGTAAAATATTTGGCTATTAGTTGAAGCAATTCAGATATCAAATACATTAGCTATAATATGCACCTAATTAAATTTTTAAATATGGTTGATTCTAATGGAAAAAAATATAAGAAAAGACTTCAAACTTTGTAGGTACTTAGGGATAACAAAAGAATCAGAAATGTAGAATTTTTAAGGAACAGTATTTAGTCTTTTTTAAATATCTTAATCTTTAAAGTTACTGAATTAAAAAAAATATATGATATTATTATTTCATCTATTTTAAGTATGTATTATAATACAACTTTTTATTATATTAAATAAGATGACAATTAATCAACAAATAAAAAATACATATTTATCAACATTTTAAAGTAACATCAAGACATCAACTTTAAAAAAAGCACCTACATTCCTAACCAGGAAAATTGCATAATCAATAAAAAATAGATGTAGGGGGGATAGTCCCAGATTCATTTGTCGTTATCCAATATTGTAATCGTTATTCGTTGCAATAACTTTTTTCTTTTTTTGTATTACATACAACTTTGTTTGTAAATTAAACAAGAGCATATAATAAGTAAATTGGATAACATTCAAATTTAAAGATAAAATACAACATGAATTGTAAGTAGCTAATTAAAATTCGTATACACTGCAATAGAAGTCTACAATAATCATTTGCACAGTATTAACTAAAAATACTTTAACAACAATATTCGAAAGAAATTATTGTAATAATAATCAACATGATAAACTATGAAACAGTTATAGGAAAAATTATTATAATCTTGATAATAAAGATTATACGGTATGCGATTATAAAGAATTAAAAAAATGTATACATAACATTATTAGGTACCTATATGTATAATAAATAAAAACGATGACCTTGCTCGAAATTCAATGTCGACATGGCCAACACTGACCCGTGTCGCGAATTGTGATAATGATGCGTAATAACAATTTGAATGACTCACTGAGGTATTGATCGATTTACTGAAAATTTGTCAGTTTCTCCAACGATGTGATCGGGTGATGAGTAACAAGAAAACCACTGTTCAATAAAATAAGGTACCTACGATGCTTACATTTTAGTTTAATTTATAGTATTATTTTATAGGCACCTATACTACAACTATAATAATACTTATAACT